AAAAACTATCAAGGAATTTAAAATAATGTGGGGATAAATAGTTGTGCTGTAGCATAAGGATTTGTCTAAATACATGAGGGATAAGAATGAAGATCAACACACAGCTGATTCCTATGAGGTGGAGGCCAGATAAACCTCTGCTCTCCACCATCTTCACCATTTCTGACACCAGCTGTTTCATTTATGGCCACACCATACTTCTCTGCTGGGTTTGATAATCAGTTGCAATGGGCACACAAAACTCATAGACCATACTCACAGTTATGTGTTTATTAAAGACACAACAGGCTACAGCTTGGGATCAGGATCAACTTGAAAGTAAAAGGATATAAATAGGATGCCATTGGTCAGTCTGGACAGTTTTCTCGCGGGTGAACCCTTGGAGCAAAAATACTCCCTGCTGATACAGTTCTCAACAAGGACCTCAAAAAGTTCTCTGCTTTTGGAGCCTCTCTGCTTTAGGGCCTCTCCTGAGCCTATGGCTGTAACACTGAAGACAGAACCCCAGAAGGGGGCTCAAAAAAAAAAAAACCAAACCCGTTGCCATCTAGTCAATTTCAACTCATAGTGATCATATAGGACAAAGTAGAACTGCCCCATAGGGTTTCCAAGGAGTGGCTGGTGGATGCGAACAGTGGACCTTTTGGTTAGCAGCCATAGCTCTTAACCACTACACCACCAGAGAGTCCATCAGCAGAGAAAGGGCAAAAGGACCCCAGAGCTGAGCAGCAGAGAAACAGCAGCAGCAGTGTGAGTGGTGGGAACCATGAGACTGGCAGACAGCAGACAGTGGGTGAGTCAGCCCATGGAGCATAGTTGGGCACCTTCTATCAGAAGACTCAACAGAACTGGGTTCCCTTTTAACAGGATGCAGCCACAGGCCAAGGCTGTGCAGGTGGACGCCCAAGCAAAACAGCAGTGTGGTAACAAGCTGGGCTACCTTTGGCAGCATCAGACGCCACGGCTCTGCTGAGAGCCGTAACTCTGACGCTGAGAGGGAGCCAGGCCTGGAGGCTAAGAGGAGACTTGTCCTGATGGGGATGAGAGGAGGACTGTCCAGAGGGCCAGAGGAAGACTGTCCTGAGGTGGTAGAGACGCAGCCTGTCCTGACAGGACTCAGAGGAGACCTTTCCTGAGGGGCTCAAGAGGAGGCCTGTCCAGAAGGGACTGAACAAAGGCCTGCCAGAGGTCATATGCACATCAGAAAGGGCCTGCTTGCGAAGTCACTGCCTTTGAGAAATAACTACCTTGTTATTACTTAAAAATTAGCAAAGTAATCTGAAGTTTGTAAAAAATATAGTGAGAGATGAGAGAAAGAAATGCAAATGTTTAAAAGCTTCCTATTGTGACATATTTTAATTGCAAGTGTAATTCTTGACCATTTTAGTCACTTTCTTTGAGATGTGTTGGTCATGTTATAATGTAATCAAAAGACTTAATAAATTGATCTTGCCAAATCAAAAAAAAAGAAAAGGGGGTCTGCTTGCTTGCTTGCACGGCTGAGAGCAGCTAAGAGAGCTGTTCTGGTTGCCAGCTGTCCTACGTTGAAGGGAGGGGTGTTCTATCCAGCTCAGGCTAGCCGTTCAGCCTCATCTATGTGCTTCCTGATCCTGATCCCTAGTTGTTCCTGTTACTTCTGAAGAAACCACGTAACTGTGAGTATGGTCTATGAGTTCTGTGTGGTCATTGCAATGAATTATCCAAGCCAGCAGAGAAGTATAAAGTACTGTGGAGGGAATGGCTGGTGTCAGAAATGGTAAGGAAGTTGGAGAGTGGAGGTATATCTGACATCCACCTCATAAGAACCAGCTTTGTGCTCATCCTGATTCTTATGCCTCGGAAGTTACGAGAGCCCATACGCTAGATTACACCAAGTCAGATCTTTCCATTCCCTGAACTGATCCATCAGGGTCTCAGGATAGGTTGAACAGTCCGTTGTAAAAATGCTGTGGGGGTGGTGTCTGACCCCCAATTTCACAAGGGAGAAGGAGAATCAAGATTGCAGCCCAAGGCTGATTCCTATGAGGCAGAGGTCAGACACGCTCCAATCTCTGCCAACTTTACCAATTCTGACACCAACTGTGCCTCCCATGGCACTCTCTACTTCTCTGCTGGGTTCGATAATTTATCGCAGTAACCACATGGGACTCACAGACAATACTCATGATTATGGAGTTTATTAGGGCAATAACAGGTTACAATTCATGTTCCAAAACGCTCGGGATACAGTTCTTCCATCAGGAAAGCCTCTCCCCAGCCATGCTCTCAGGCACACCTTGCTGGCCCTCACCCTCTGCCCCTCACCCTGTGCCCTGCTCGAGCAAGTGTTACAAAGCTATTTTAACCCCTGCCAATAAGTCCTCAGACACACCCCAGGCACTGAGCTTTCTCGGTCCATGGGCTGGGAAGCCGACTGCACAGTCTCCTGCCACTGCTCCTTGCTGCCTTCAAGGTTACAGCTCTCAGTCTCCTGGTTTCAGGAGCTCCTCAGCGCAGGTCTCCCAGGTCCAAAAGACAGGCTGTCTGCTCCTGGGTGTTCTTCTTTGGTTGTGGTAGAATTCTCTCTCCAGCCTCTGGGATGGCTCACCTCAAGCCCAGTGGGACGGCAAAACTGACCAATCCCTTTGGTGGACCACAATTACCCTATTTTTGCACAGCCACACCCAGTCACTTGGGTGGGAGTTACAACACCATGGCGAGAAAAGCCACACAAAAGCGATCCATCCCACCTCACCTGTCCTGAGGCCTGCACACCAAGTGCTGAACTCATTTCTTAAAAGTTGGCATCCCAGGTGAAGGCGTGCTAGTGCATGCCTACACCTGGTACACACAACCTCTGCTCCCACACCCAGGATACTCATGGTCCCAGTGAAGCTCACCCTTCACCTGTCTCCATGGCCTCAGTTCCTCCTGGGCTGAGAGGCAGTATTATCACATAGTGGTTACGAGTCCTGAAGTCACACTGCCTGGGTTTGAATCCTGCCCTGACATGAACCAGCTGTATGACCTTGAGCAAGTTACTTACCTGTGCCTCCATTTTATCTTTAAAATTATTATCTGCCTCATAGGGTGGTTGTGGAAAGTAGTTAGAAGAACACTTGGCAAACAAGCAATTAATAAAAGTATTATTGTTCTTTTTATTAGTCCTAGTGAGAAGAGGAGGAGGAATTGAGAATATAGGGATGTCTGACCTTTATTATAAATCGGCAGCTTGATGAAAACAAGTGTTGTCATGCACGGAGCCAAAGTATCCCATATACCATGCTGTTTAATCTTTTGAATAATCCTTTGGTTGCAGAGTCACTTGTTGGGGCCATTAAGGTGGCAAATTAAGCAATAATTCAGAGCAATGAAGTAAAGCACTAAGAACAGAGAAGAGGGAGTGATCTAATGCTATTTTTCAGATAGCATCAACAGTATGTGGTGCCATTTATGAGGAAGACACATGGGTTGTGTTTTGAGTTGATCCTTTGACCTTTTGTCATCACCTCCAATACCCTATATTCAAGATATTATCTATATTTTCCCTTCCTAATTGTTTGTGTTATAATGACTGTGGCTGAGAAATGGAATGAAGAAGTAAGTTGAGGGCAGTGGTGATTCAGTGGTAGAATTCTTGACTACCATGCAGATGTGGTTTGATTCCTGCCCAGTGCTCCTCAAGTGCAGCCACCGTCTGTGTCAGTGGAGGCTTGCATGTTTCTGTGATGCCGAACAGGTTTCACCAGAGCAACCTTACTAAGATGGACTAGGAAGAAAGGCCTGGAGATCTACTTGCCTTTTCCTGGCCTCAACATTAGTGGCCTTTCCCCTATGCCCCACTCTAAATATAACCTAGGCTCATCCCACCTGCTTTTTTGCACTGTTTGCAAATGCCACTCTCATACAATACCAGTTTCTCCAAACCTTTTTCTGTCCTTAAAGCCAATTCCTGAAAGCCGTTTTCGGTGAGAATATTTCCATGGTGCTGATTTAGGAAATAATATTGGGGTTATTATTCCCTCTCCTTGAGCATACAGAATGTGACCCAGCTGGAGCTGGGCTCACAAGGGCTCACAAGGACTCTCAAGGACACATCAACTGGGCCTTGAGGTATAAAGACAATAGCTAAGATAATCTTGGAAAATATCTTTTAGGGAAACTTTCACATAAATCCCATCAAACAGAACACAAAAGACTTTCCACTCTTGTCTTTTTCTATTAGCATTTAGTGAATAGGTATTTGTTGGACCAATGAAGACCCTCCTGATTCTCTTTACTGAAACCTGTACCAATGATTGTTATGAAAGATGATTCAAAATGTAAGATTACAATTTCTAGCCAATCAGTGAAAAAGCGACGCTTTCAGTGATTCTACCCATTTTTTGTGACGTTGATGTATACTGATGATTCTGTAACCTTCCTTGGACTCGGGCAGACATGGCTGTGGCAGCATGCTTGTCCTTTTTCCCATTCTTGCCTATTCTTTGGATTCGGGCAGGCATTCTAGCTCTGGCAGCATGCTTGCTTGTCCGCTTCCCACTTTTGTCCTTTTGAATATATGCCAAATAAAACTTTTTTACTTTACTAAACTTTGTGATGTTTTTCCCCTACAACAGTGCTCAGCTTACCAGCTTTTTGCCTTTTACCTTTCCAAGAGCGTGTCTCTGATGTATAGACACTTGAACTCCTTGTCTGTTTCCCATCTTTTTTTTTCTTTTTTCTTTTTAAACATACTCTTTAAATACGTGGCTGTATTATTTTCCTGCCTCGCCGGTAAAGTAATTTGATTGGTTCCATGATTTTCTCATGAAGCTTGAACCACTGAGAATCTATCCATTTTTTGCAAGGGTCATGAAGATGGGGAATCGGACAGGTTCGTTGGCTTTTTCATTTTCCTGGCCTTACCTAGCTACTGGCACAAAAAATGTCCCCTTTTGCTCTCTATGGCAGGTATTCAAATATGGCTGCCTCCGGAGAGACAAGACAACAAGGGCACAGACATATTAACTCATAAGGCTATGCCGGAAATACCGTTACCCGCCCTCCTGCAAAAGATCCGGACCCTCGCCGGCCTCCGTAGGTTCACAAAGATTATGCCTGAGGGGTGGAGAAGTGGGAGCCGTTTACGGAAGTATTGCAACTTTTCGCAACTTTTAGTGATTCAGGAGAAAAATGGGTACATGTGTGTTTCTGTCCTTGAACCAGGGCAGTGTAGGTGTGTGGATGTGGTGTCGTGAGGACCCATGGAGTTCCTGAGGGGAGCCCCGTGGTGGAGGGGCTTGAAGGTAAGCAGGTGGGAAGCCTGTGCTTTTGGGGTCAGACATGGGGTGAACGCTTTAGCACAACGAATAAGGCTTTGCGGACTATTAGGGTAAGGGGACTTTGTGGATCAGTCTGCTTGTAAGGGATGCAGGTGGTATTTATGATCAAAGCAGTGTCTAGTTCGGGTTGGGAATTTAATATGGGGCTCAGTGAATTTGGAGCAGGAGGATGAACATCGTAGGAGGTGTCTGGTCTAGGTTTTGCTCAATAAAGGCGTGAGAGCGGTTTGTGTCGTTGATACAGAGGATTATGAGGACGAAACTTTAGAAGCCCAAAAGTAGAGGTGAGCCGTTGTGTGGGATACCTTATAGCCCATAAACTTCACATACATGCACACTTTCCACTTTGCTGATATGAATTGAATTGTGTCCCACAAAAATGTGTTTTGTAAATCCTAACCTCTATGCCCTTGGTTATAATTCTGTTCGGGAATGGGTTGTTTTTGTTAGGTTAATGATACGGGATTAGTGTAGGGTGTATTTTGAGCCAATGTTCTTTGAGATATAAAGAAATTAAACAGGAAAGCTAGTAAGCAGAGGTGGGGAAAGATAGATGACAAACCATTTGGAGATCTCCAAGGAACCAAGAAACAGAAGTTGAAGAGACAAGGTCTTTCCCCAGACCTGACAAGAGACAGAAAGCCTTCCTCTAGAGCCAAGCATACTGAATTAGGACTTGGCGCAGTGGTTAAGAGCTTGACTGCTAACCAAAAGGTTGGCAGTTCAAATCCACCAGCCGCTCCTTGGAAATACAATGGGGCAATTCTACTCTGTCTTATAGGGTCACTATGAGTCGGAATCAACTCATTGGCAATGGGTTTTTACCCTTCCTAAACTTCAGAAAATAAATTCCTGTTTATTAAAGCCATTCGCTTGTGGTATTTCTGTTATAGCAACACTAGATAACTAAACTAAGACATAATTTGGTACCAAGAAGTGGGGGTGCTGCTCTAACAAACACCTACAGTGTGGAAGTGGTTTTGAATTTGGTAATGGGTGGAGGCTGAAAGAGTTTTAAGGTGTCTAATAGTAAAAGCCTAGATTGCCTTTAAGAGACATGTAAAAATGGAAGGATGGCGGCATCTGACCTCTTGTTACTTGATCAGGGGAAGAGAGAATCAGCATCAGCCCAAGGCTGATTCCTATGAGGCAGAGCTGAGACATGCCTCCTTTCTCTGCATGCCTCCTTTCTCTGCTATCCTTACCAATTCTGACACTAACCATCCCTCCCATGGTACCACTTCTCTACTGAGTTTGGTAACTCCTTGAAATGGCCACACAAAACTCACAGACCATGCTTACTATTATGGGGTTTATTAGGGAAGTAACAGGTTACAATTCAGGAACTCAGGATACACTTCTTTGATCAGGACAGCCTCTTCTCAGCCAGGCCTCTCTGGCCCTGGACCTATCTGTCCCTTGACCTCTCCGACCCCTCAGCCTTTCGGGACTCTTGGACCAGACCGGCCTCTGCCCTCCTCGGGCAAGTGTTACAAAGCTCTTTAGAGCCAACAATAAGGGCCCATAGGCACTCCACCTCTCCAGGAAGCCTCCTAGCTATAGACTGTGAGAGGTCTCGCTCCATGAGTTGGCTCCTGCGCTGGCTAGCACCAGTCTCCTGGTTCTGCTGCCACTGTTTCTCTGCCACTGCTTCTCACTGTCTTGTGCCTACTCCACTGTTGCAATTCTCTCTCTTTCTGTTTCCTGGTTCTAGGAGGTTCTCAGTGCAGGGACCCTGGATCCAAAGGATGCGCTTCACTGCCATCTCTTCTATCTTGGTGGTAGTGAGGTCCCCCCCTGCTCTGGGATTGGCTCTCTTTTAAGCCCAGCAGATGGCAAAACTAACCAATCACCTAGTTAGGGTTTCATACATTTTATTTATATGGTCCTATCCACACTGGGATTCGATTCACCTCATTTGCATTATTAGCAAGCTGCCTAATCCCCTAGGTGGGGCACAAGCACCTTATTTACATAGTACCACTCAATCATTTGGTAGGAGTTACAACACCATGGCTAGAAAGGCCATATAAAAGCGATCCATCTTATCGCATTGGGTTACTACAAATAATGTAGTTTTAAATATATTGGTACATGTCTTGTGTTTCAAATGTGCACACAGTATGTGGGGATATAAACCTCAGAGTTAAATTTTTATATCCGAATGTATGTATAACTTCAGTCTAATAGATGATGTCTAAGTGCTTTCTAAAGTGGTTGTACAGCTTTACAGTTTCCCCAGCAGAGTAGTCTTCATTTTATAGTTAGTGCTTTATGTAGCATATTTAAAATATGTTTCCAGACTGTAATGTAAACTTATCTTAAAGCTTCATTGATTTGTTATTCTCACTGGGGGTCACACTTAACCATGAACTGATAGTTTTACATGTTGTGATGTAGAGATCAAGCTTATTTTTTTTCTTTCACATGTATATCTGATTGCCCAAGCACCATTTTTTGAGAGACATATCTCTGCAAATTCTGAATCTTAGGTTTTATTGCCCCTGGGTGTAAAATATTCTGAGTTGCCAAATAAAGGAACAGTCAACAGTATTGAGGGCCTTGTGTTAAGAAGAGTGCCGGGAGCAGTGACCGCGTCTGGGCCTAGAGATAATGTACCACTCACATTGAATTTTCTCTTCAGCCTATAGGTCTGACCTCCACCAGTGAGAGAATCACTTGAAAGAAGAAGGAAGAGATTGTAGGATTTGTTGGGTATTGTCATTTTTGGGGACACCCTTCCCAGGAGACTGAGATTTCTGAACAGAAATTAGAGCTTATCCAGGAAACACAAGGACAAAGCATTGTGGTTGCTGGCAGTGTCCCAAGAACAAAAGAAAATGGTCAAGGCCCAGGTGACTTTTGGTTTGTTTTATGCTTTTCTTTGTTCTCTAATAGATTTGTAGAGGCCTGTAAAATATCAGTGCAGTTCATCTGAAAAGTGTTAATTTGGAAAAGTAGAAGCTGGAGAAAAATCAACATAGACTCTGACTTCAAAATTAGGCAGTGTAAATCAGGAATATATTGTTTGTGGGGTTAACACTAAAGTATTGACGTTGAACATCATATGTGACTGGGGATTCCTTGGGTGACATTAGCTGTCAACTTGCATTTAATATTTCTCTGGCCAACAAAAGAGATTCATTGTAATTTAAATGCTATGTCTAGTTTTTGAGGAGAAAGTAGATCATTTCCTTGAAAGATTTCAATATTCCATGGAACTTTTGTCTGAGTAAGTTTCTTTGATTTTTCTTCCTGGGGGTGATGTGGTGGTCAGTGTCCTGTACAGCAGTATTCTCATAGATGCATGTAAAATGGGACTAGTGATAATCGTAGTATAAAAATGGTGAATGGATTCCAACCTCCTCTAACTTCAGGGGCCGGACAGAGAATCATTGTCAACATCAGCCCAAAGCTGATTCCTATTAGGTGAAGGTTAAACATACCTGCGCCCTCCAACCTTTTTACCAGTTCTGACACTGCCCGTCCTTCTTATGGTGCTCTCTACTTCTTTACTGAGTTTGGTAATTTCTGGTTGTACTGGCCACACAGAACTCAGAGACCGTACAGTGAGATTTATTAGGGAAGTAAAAGGACCATACTCACGATTATGGGGTTTATTAGGGAAATAACAGGTTACGGTTCAGGCTAGGAACACTCAAGGATACAGTTCTTCCATGAGGATAGACTTTTCCAGCTGTGCTCGCAGGCACGCCTCTCCCTGGCCCTCAGTCTCTGCCCAGAGGCATTCAGCTTTCTCACTCCGTGGGCTTGGAAGCCCACTGTGCCATCTGCTGCGAGTCTCTCCTTGCTGTCTCTCCTTCCTTGGTGGTAGGGGACTCTCTTTACCATCTCTGGGGTGGCTCGTTTCAAGCCCGATGGGATCGAAAAACTGACCAGTCCCCTTGGTGGGCCACAATTAGTCTATCACACAGTCCCGCCGAATCACTTGGGTGGAAGTTACAGATTTTGGCTAGAAAGGCTGTCTATGGCACTGCAGTCCCCTGAGGACAGGCTCCTAGGAGCCCCATCAAGATGAGCTCCCTCTCTTGGCTCTTAGCCCTTGACCTGGCCTCTAAACTGCTTGGTCGGGTATTGCAGAGCTCTGTAACTCTGACAGTAAGTGCCCAGAGGTACCTCACTCCACCAGCAAGCATCCTGCCTGAAGACGCTCCTGCCCTCTTTAGCCACCATTTGGTACGCCCACTGCTCCTGCATACGCCAGTCTCCTGGCTCTGCTGCCACTATTTCTCTGCTGCTGGACTCTGGTGTGCTTGCCACCACTTCTCTCCCTCTTGCACCTTCTCTCGTGTTACGGTTTGCTGTCTCCTGGGTCTATGAAGTTCTCAGCACAGGAAACCCAGGTCAAAAAGACATGCTCTGCTCCTAGCTCTTATTGGTAGAGAGGTCCCCTCTTTCACTTCTGACATGAGCTCATATTAAGCATAGCAGGATACAAAACTGACCAATTCCCTTGTTACGGTTCCATATACCTTATTTGCATGCTTCCACCCCCACAGCAGTTCCATGCACCTTAATTACATTATTAGCTGGCTGTCCAGTCCCTTTGGTGGGCCACAGGCACCTTATTTGCATAGTCACACCCAATCATTGTGTGGGAGTCACAAAGACTGTGGCTAGAAGGGCCATATTATGTAATTCACTGCACTGCAAGTAGTAACTTCAGAACCTGACTAACTTCAAGGGTAATAACGACCAGGATCAGCACAAAGGTAATCCCTATGGGGTGGAGGTCAAACATACCTCTACTCTCCCACTTTTTTTTTTTTTTTTTTACCAATTCTGACACTAGCTGCCCCTCCAGTGACACTTTCTACTTCTCTTATGGGTTTGATAATTTGTTGCATTGGCCACACAAAACTCACAAACCGTAGTTACATGTAAGTGGTTTTTTAAGGAACAGGGTACAACTCAGGATCAGGATCAACAGGCTACAATTCAGGATCTGCTGCAGGAAGCATGTAAGTAGAGTCTCCCTTCTCCAGTGCAGGCCAGCTTTCTCACCTCTCAGCCATGCAGCCCTCCTCTCAGCCCCCTCAGGACAGGCTTCTTCTCAATCCCCTGAGGACAGGCTCCTCTCGTCCCCCACAGGACAGGCTCCTCTGCTGACTCTGCTGCAGGGCCCCTTCCAGGCCTATCGCCACTAGCACTGCCACTGTGCCCCTGTGCCTGTCTTCAGTGTTATATGTAGCCCTTGATCCATGTTTCAGCTCTTAGGAGATCCCTTGCCTCCTTTCTATCTCTGTTTCGTCTTTCTTCCTTCTGCTTCTAAATTCCTGCTTCTTTCTGTCTCTCAAACCTCTGTGGGGTTGGGTGTTTATGTATACAACTCCTTGCCAATTTCATGGCATGCCCGTCCAGCGCACCCACAGACTGACAAAAATCCCCTTTCAGGAGGCCACGGATACGTCATTTGCATAGTATGCCACGGACACTTCATTTGTGTAGTCTATTGACCAATCCCTACATTGTGCTTACCAGTTACAGGGCAGGCTGCAGCCCAGGGCCAGACAGAAAGTATCAAACCAAGTTGTTTACAGCTTACCCAGGAAATATCAATCAGCCTAACAAAAAGTATCAAACCTTCTGGGGTAGAAAACTTGGGGCAAAGGTAACTCCTGGATTTAGGGTAAGATTGTCTCAGGGTGTTTTTCCAAAGACCCGAGGCAAAAGCCAAATAAAGGAGCTCATTTCACCACAATGCAAAAGCAGGTTTCCTATGGATCTTTCTGCTAGAGTCCCTCGTAGACCCTCATAGGTATAAACCACACAAACTCAGTGGTCACAGGAGATGGACTAGGGTCTCATCTGAGAGTCAAATGAGGAAGAATCTGATTTGAAGCTCATTGACTTGGTCGTGGGCATGATTCAATTTCAGGAGGGCCTCAGTTCCTCAGTGTGTTGGCCACAGGAAGCCCTCAGTTACTTGCATGTGGACCTCCCCAACATGGCAGCTTGCTTTATTAATACTACCAAGATGGAAATAACACCGAATATGAAATCTATTCACGAAATAACATTGTATTACCTTAGTACATTCTGTTAGGAGGAATTAGGCCAGCCCATACTCATGGAGAGGGGACTGTACACAAGTGTGACTATGATCTTAGAATCTGCCTGCCACAGGTTTTTCATTCAGTGAAAAATTATTTTTGAGTGCAGAATAAGACCTTTGGCTGTTTCTTCTCCCTTAATACTATTTTTTCTTTCAGAAGTTATGGATAGGCATATGTTAGTGTACGAATAACTTTATATGTAAGAATCAGCACAAAGCCAATTCCTTTGAGGTCAAATATATCCCAGATTTCCACATTCTCTAAGCTGCTGTGCCACTCCATCTCTAACACCAGCCACTTACCCTCCCCTCAGCACTTTACCCTCCCCAGTTTGGGGTCGGCAGTTTGCTTACAGTTAAGCGGTTTATTAAGGAAGTACCAGGTTACAACTCAGGATCAGGATCAAAAGCCTACAACTCGGGATCAAGATTAAGAAACTTGGTAGGTAAAGTCTGCCTTCTTCAGTGTAGAATAGCTCTCTTAGCTCCTCTCTGCCATGCAAAGAAGCAGGCTGTTCTTGGTGTGCACACACCCTGTCTGCGGTTCAGGCCTCCTCTCAGTTCCCTCAGGACAAGCCTCCTGTCAGCCCCCTTAGGATGGGTTCCCATCAGCCTCCTCAGGGCACCTTCCAAGCCTCTTGCTGTCTTCAGTGTTACAGCCCTTGTTCCATGTTACAGCTCTTTTAGGAGGTTCCTTGCCTTCTCTCTCTCTGCCTTTTCTCTCCTCTCTTGCCTTTTCTCCTTTCAGCTTTTTCCTGCTTCCTGTCTGAAAAACCTGTGGCACTGGCTGCATATATACACAAACTCCTTGTCATTTCAAGGTACGGCCCTCCCCGCAGGTCCATGAACTGACCAATCCATTCTCGGTAAGCTGTTTGCATAGAGGGCTATAGTGACTTCATTTGCATAGTATATTGACCAATCACTGCAAAGGGCAGATTGCTCTTCATAGGGCAGAAACTTATATTCCAAAGAAACAAGGCAAAAGGCCACATAAAGGAACTCACTTAACCACAGGTAGAAGTTGTCCCTCTATCCATGTTTACTAACCTCTCCTTTATATTCTCTTTCTCTGCTACATTTTGGGTAATCTCTTCAGTCATACATTAAAGTTGACTAATTATCCCTTTAGTGTATTTGATTTGTGTGGTGATACGATGTTAACTTCTCTGTTAATATATCTAAATATGTGTTTACGTAGTGTATGTGGGTCTGTGTATAAATGTGAGGTGTTTCTAGCTTATGAAGATTTTACTGCTACACACTATAGAAAATTCTAATTTCATGAGTGGGTGGATTATGGAATGCACAAATTCAGAATAGTTTGTTTCAATTTTGCTTTTTCTATAAGATGTTAAAAAAAAATAAAACCTAGGTATGTAGATGGCAGCAGCCTATATAGAGAAAATGAGCAGAAAAACTTCCTTCACATTTCATTCATACCATGAAAGGAAATCACTTCATTAAACAGGGTACTCTTAATACAGGAGTCACTGACATTCAGCGATGTGGCTGTGAAGTTCACCTGGGAGGAGTGGCAGCTCCTAGACCCTACTCAGAAAGACCTGTACTGGGACGTGATGTTGGAGGACTATAGCAACCTGGTATCCATTGGTGAGGAAGACTCTCTTGTCATTGGCCCTGTCATTTGTCTTTCCTTTTTCAGCTACTGAAATCTTTGGAAGGTCTCTGGTGCTCTAAAGTGGCACATGCTCAGTCAGCTCTCTGATTCTAGATAAGTGGGTATATTTTCCCTACTCATGACATAAAACAGTTAATTTGTACGTTCGAAAGTTGTTTTTCACAAATACAATATTCTACAGTCTTCACAAACCCAAGGCGAGTTTGCTGAGTCTTTATTCTGTGATTTCCCATGAACAGGGTGTCAAGTTAGCAAACCAGATGCACTCTCCAGGTTGGAACGAGGGAAACAACCATGGACTATATTAGACGAAAGCCATCGTGTAATCTTTTCAGGTAGGCAGACAAAAAGTGGTAAGTGGGGAAGGCTATGGAAGTTCTGTTACAAGTAAGAGAAGGTATCACATCTGGGAAGGGTGTCTGAGGATATGTAGAAGTACCTCCATGTATCTCTTTCCCCATGTGAGAGCTCATTTTCTTTCTAGGAGTTTGGAGAAATATGTATTTCTCTGTCTCTTTTGAGACAGGCCCCCTGTTTATTTGATCTACATTTTGATGATTTTGGTTCCATAATTTTCTTCTTCCTAGCATGCTCAAATCTTTCCTTTCTTCATAGTCTTCACCTCCCTTACTATGAAATTCCACCTTCCAGGCATCTTTCCAAAGATAGAACATTGAATTCATAACTGTCCTCATGAAGTTAGAGGTCAGATGATGTTATGCTACCATTTTTTACAAGCACTAAACTTTTCCATGTTGTTACCTCATTCAGGATTTATTCATGTTTCAGATTTCTTCATATCTGTACTTGGATATGTACTAACCATCTTGAAGCTGATATGTTTCAGAATATTCTCTGGAACATTCTATACATCAATGATATTCCTTATCTCATTAAAAGACACTAGTACCCTGTGTCTCAAGAGAAATATTGAGTAGCAACCCTTTATTCCTCATGTTCTCTACCCTACCCGGACAATAATGAATTCATCAGTGAGCCTTCTCATTGTTCAAAATATATCCTCATTTCCTCCACCCCTTGCTATCCCCCTCATAAAAACTACTTTTCACAATCTGCAACTGCTTTCTTTAGGGCTTTCCTTGCCTTTTTCCAGTAGTTTACCCAACTAGAATATAGGCTCCATAAATATAAGGATTGTGTTTGTGAATTCCCAATACCTTTATATGTATGCATGAAAATTGTTTTCTCCCAGATGTAACATTCTGCATTATTCACATACTATGCCTGGTGAGTGGTTGACTTTCAGTAAGGATTTGTAGAGTGAATGAATCTGTCCTGTTAGTGTGCAAGGAACATTAAAAACATGGTGTTTTCTTTACATGTGTATCAGAAGGTTGTCACTGAAGATCCACCTTACATCAATGAATTTTTTTTAATGGCTTCTTTCCAAGTCAGGATTTATTGTTCTGTACTTCCCTAGAAATCATGAATATTGATGATCATCTGCTTGGGCACTCACAAGAAGAAATAAGGATGGACAGAATGGAACAATGCCCTGAACATGATGCACTGGAAAATATCCACCGGCACAAAAATCATTTTCCTTTAAGGGAAGATCATGCTGTATTTGACTTACATGAAAAAGGTATGAAATCAAATTTAACTTTACCTGCAGTCAACCAGAGCAAAAGCGATGAAATAAAGAACTCTGATGAGCTTAATGGAAATGAGAAAACCTTTCTCCTTGCTGACCAGGAACAATTTTGTACTGAAGTGAAATTTCTTGAGAGTCAAAAATCCAACAGCACGACATCCCAATTCACTAAGCATCAGAAAATTAACAAAATAGAGAAACCACATGTATGTAGTGAATGTGGGAAAGCCTTTATCAGGAAGTCTTTCCTCACTGATCATGAGATCATTCATACAGGAGAGAAACCATATAGATGCAGTTTATGTTGGGAAACTTTCTTTAAACAGTTCAAGCTCAGTGAACATCATCACAGAACTTGTAAAGGACAAAAACCTTACAAATGCAAGGAAGGTGGCAAAGCCTATTTCCATAAATCAAAGCTCAGTAATCATCAGAGAACTCACATGGCAGAGAAACCCTATATATGCAATGAATGTGGAAAAGGCTTCATCCAGAAGACACATCTCACTGTTCATCAGCGAACACATACTGAAGAGAAACCCTATATATGCAATGAATGTGGAAAAGGCTTCATCCAGGATAGCCATCTAATTATTCATCAGCGAACTCATACTGGAGAGAAACGCTATGTATGTGGTGAATGTGGTAAGGGATTCAGCCAGAAGTCATGCCTTATAGCACATCAGAGATTTCACACAGGAAAGATGCCCTTTTCATGCAGTGAATGTGGAAAATCTTATTCCCAGAATGCAACTCTCATTGGACATCGGAAAATTCACACAGGAGAGAAACCCTTTCAATGCAGTGAATGTTCAAAAGCCTTCAGAACAAAGCTAGAGCTCATTGTACATCAGAGATCTCATACAGGAGAGACACCGTGTTGCTGCAGTGAGTGTGGACAAACATTTGCCTATACTTCTTCCTTTTACTCACATAAAAGAAAACACAAAAGACAGAAAGGTGTAAATTCAATCAAGTTGGAAGACTCTTCCACAACAAGTCACAGCTCATTATGTATCAGTGATCTTATGCAGGTAAAAAGCCCTGTTAATACAGTAAGTCTGCAAATGCCTTCTGTGGCAGCTGAGACATCAGTAAACATCCGTGGGCTCCTAACTAACAGGCCACAGTCCTTGTGGGACAACCTGTTGGTAGATGTGAACCCTCAGCAAATAATAGAGAGTTTGTACAGCAAAGAAACCTTATGAATGCAGTGAATTTGGTGGTGCCTTCAGTGGTCAATTATGTCTTATTTTATGTCACATAAAACCCATGGGGTAAACTCAGATACATATACTGGGGATGAGGATTGAGCAAAAATTTTTACCTCATTGTATGGCTACAAAGTGTATCTTAAAGGATATCATATGAATGCAGAGACTGGGAAGGCCTCATACACTCATCCATAAATATGTGCTTTGATATTGAGACATAATCTGATGTTAACACAAACACATATTCATCAATTATTTTATAGTGCCAGTTAAACAAATGAAAGTCTGAATTAGTCTCAATGCAGGAAATAAATACTGTGAATTTTTAAAACACAAAAGATAATCAGTGTCTGGATACTGTAAATGAAAAACCAAATAGAAATTGGTTGGTGGGAAGGGGGCAGTACTGAATTGCTGAGATAATGGGGCACATATATATAAATTCAGTTTCTCTGTATCAGTGTGTAATTGAAAACTAGATTGTCTACCATACATAATAGAACTTTATATTATGCAGATGTACCTATGAAACAGTGGTCTTACATTGAGTCTATTCATTAATAAACCACTTAACTTTAAGTATAGTCTGTCAGTTCTGTGCAATGATTTATCTAACCCAGCAGAGAAGTAGAGTGTGCTGTGGGGAGGTGGGCTAGTGCCTAAATTGGTAAAAGTTGGAGGGAGGAGGTATGTCTGACCTCCACCTCATTGGAGTCAGCTTTGTGGTGTTGGTGATTTGCTCTCCTCCTGAAGTTAGGAGACTTCAGTTGCTGCTAGTACTAGAACTTTGAAGTTGGTGTCAGAAGTGTGATTTGTTGCAATGGCTCCTGACTCATGGAAACATGGGGTTTTGGAAGAGAAAGGATGAATGGGCACGGCCTGAGAAAATTTTGATTCTGGGGTGGTTATTTTGATTTTTCCTATATGTAATGGCTAAAATACAAGTAAGAGATGGTATATTGCAGCAGTGGATAGGAAAGCTACACCTAAAATGGGTTGGGGTGAAAGCCCAGCAGGTTAAACAAGATGACCGATAGGGAGCCATGGTCTTCTGATTTGACCCAGCCAGAGACAAATCCATATGCTTACAAATGGGTAAGATAGATGCTGGAAAACAGGAGATGAAACTGCAGTGTTTTAAAAAACTATGTGTTTATCTGAATGTACTATATCTAACTGAAGGAATTTTTTCTCTACCTGGTGGTGTAAAACAGACGTGATAGAAATGAATATTGAGTATTGTAAAAAAAACAACATGTAACTCCACCCCTCAGGCAATACTTGACTGTATATACTAAAAGTTGGGAATACTAAATGGGGATTATGCTAAAAACCTGTGAGATGAGGAGATTTGCATTTGAGACAATCATATTGGACTTTGAGAGTACCAGGATGATAGAAGTCTCAATGTACCAAAGAGCTTCCTTGTTGAATGAACAGTAAAAGAATGTTCATGTGAGGCATCCTGTGGAATCTGAAAGGTATGTTCAATAGGACATGTCAGTGCCCATCAGAAGAACTCCTTTCAGGACTGGAAGTTAATGGAAGCCGGCAAGTAGATAGCTTGGTATGCTCACTTGTGACCATTTGAGTCTACTGGATGAGTGGAAGTGGGAGAAATTCATCAATAAAAAGATGGGACAAGTTTGGACATGTTCTTTGGCACCTGTTGACTATCCCTGGGTGGGTAGGGATGAGAAAGAGAAGGGACTGGCTGATATGACGTGCAGTGTGGACTCCCGAGCCTACGGGTGGTACCCATTGACATAGCTCATCGTGGCCTGGCATAACCTGAGAGGACCCCTACTGAATGGATATGAGATAACCTGACTTTGGGTACAGCGAGTAAAAGAGATGTTTAATAACGTGAGTTAGTGCAGATGCCTGTAGTTTGATGGCTAGGCCTGTACTGAATGTTGCTTATGGATGCAGATGCCCGAAGTTCCATCCAGAAACAAGATTCTTCAGACCAAGGAACATACTTATCTCCTCAGAGCAGTGATTTGTTAGGGATGGGCAATTTAAACATTGGCTATTGAAAGTGGAGAAAGATAAAGGCATGAAGTATCTGCCTTAAATGCTTTCATGAGAGTGCTTACACTCAAAATGAAGGGGATAATGGAGGCTCTCCACTGAATAGCTTCCTCTTTTCCAGATAGGTCTAAAAAACATTAGGGTGGGTATCTTAATTATCTAGTTCTCCTGTAACAGAAATACCGCAAGTGGGTGGCTTTGACAAACAGAAGCTTATTCTCACAGTCTAGGAGGCTAGAAGTTCAAATTCAGGGTGCCAGCACCAGAGGAAGACTTTCTTTCTATGTCACCTCTTAGGGAAAGTCCTTGTCATCAATCTTCCCCTGGTCTGGGAGCTACTCAGCAAAGGGACTCCAGGTCCAAAGGATGTGCTCCCTCCTGGTTCTTCATTCTCGGTGGTAGGAGGTCCTTCTGTCTCTCTGCTCGCTTCTCTCTTTTCTGTCTCTAAAGAGATTGACTCAAGATTGAGTATCTTCTAGATTGAGTCCTGTCTCATTAACATAACTGCCTCTAGTTTGGCTTCATTAACATCTTAGAGGTAGGATTTACAACACATAGGAAAATCACATTAGATGACAAAATGTATTGTCTCACCATACTGGGAATCATAGCCTAGCCAAGTTGACATACATTTTTGGAGGACACAATTCAATCCATGACATTCCACCTTTTGGCCCCCTAAAATTCATGTCATTGCCACATGTAAAACACATTCACCCCATCATATCGTAGCAAGTCTTAACCCCAAATCAAAAATCCAAAAATTCCTCTTTATCTGTGAAATCTAGAATACAAGTTATCTGCTTCCAAAGTACAATGGCAGAACAGGCACAAGCTAGACATTTTCATTACAAATGGGAGAAATTGGAGGGAAAGAAGGGATGGCAGGCACCAAGCAGGTCAGCAGAACACATTATGTTAGCTCTCAAGGCTTGAAAAGAATCCTCTGTTCTCTGAAACCATTTAGGCAATGGCCCTGCCCTCCAGACTATTGGTGTTGGCCACACTCTGGATTCTGGGTGGAGGGCCCTCAGCCCTGGCTTTCAGCTCCACCTTCCAGGCCCACTGGAATGGCAAATCTGCTCCCTCACATTTGGGTGACACCATTCTTCTAGTCCATCTGAGTGGTGACCCTACTACCACTTGGCCCAGCAGGCCCCATTCTTCTGGTCCCCCGCCCACACAGCTTTGAGCACTGGGTCTGTTCCCATCTTGCTGGCACTTGTAAAAGGCAGCCCCAGACTCCAGAATTGAGTTGGTGAGGATATGACTCTTTGAAACCTAGGAGGCTGTGGCCTCACTCTTTGAAACCCTGGAGGCCATGGCTACACCTTTTGAGACCCCGGAGATTGTGGCCCTACCTTTTGAGACTGAGGCAACTTTGATTCCTGTGCCCCTTGTCTTCAGCTTCTGCTTCCTGGTTCCTTGGCCTCTCGGCCCCTTGGGTCTCACTGCCCGTGTCTGCCCTGCTGGGGCAAGTATTCCAAAACTCTAGCTCCACCGATAAGTGCCTGAAGGCACCCCACTTCACCAGTAGACTGGCTGGAAGGCTCATAGCTCTCTTGCTTCATGGGTTGGCAAGCATTGCTCCACCAATAAGTGCCCAGATGCACCCCACTCTACCAGAAAGCCTCCTGTGCAAAGGCACTCAGTTCGCTCACTCCACTCCACAGGTCGGCTCCAGCACTGCCTCGAGCTGGTCTCCTGGTTCTGCTGCTGCTTTTCACCGTCTGCGCCATCTCCAGTGTAACAGCTCTCCTCATTTCCTTCTGAGTCCTCACCAAAATTGTCTTTGATGTCCATAATTCCACCAACAGTGTCTTCAAGGCAATTTTTAAATTCTAGGTTCTAGCCATTCATAGTTTCAAAACAGCTTCCACACTGTAGTTATCTGTTAGAGAAGCACCCCACTCTGTTGGTACTAAATTCTGTCTTAGCTATCTAGTGTTGCTATAATAGAAATACCACAAGTGGATGGCTTTAACAAACAGATTTATTCACTCACAGTCTAGTAGGCCTGAAGTCCGAATTCAGGGTGCCAGCTCCAGGAGAAGGCTTTCTCTCTCTGTTAGGTCTGAGGGAAGGTCCTTGTCATCAGTCTTCCCCTGATCTAGGAGCTTCTCAGTGCAAGGACCCTGGATCCAAAAGAAGTACCACCTCCTGGTTCTCATTCTTGGTGTTAGAAGGTCCCCATGTCTCTCTGCATGCTTCTCTATTTTTATATCTCAAAAGAGATTGACTCAAGATACAATCTAGTTTTGTAGATTGAGTCCTGCCTCATTATCATAAATGCCTCTAATCTGGCTTCATTAACATCACAGAGGTAGGATTTACAACACATAGAACAATCACATCAAATGACAGAATGGTGGACAGTCACACAGTATGTGGAATCATGGCCTAGCCAAGTTGACACACATTTTTGGGGGTCACGATTCAATTGATGACAGTGGGGGAAGATGCTGATAGGATTGTATGATTCAACTGTGAATGTTGATTGTTAGCACTATTAACTGTGATTGTAAAAAAATTATAGAAGCTGTAACTTTCAAAGAGTGGACTAAGGGGAAGGCACTGCTGGACTGGAGTACAGTGGCCAAACCTAAAGTCCCTTTAAGGTTTTGCTGAGATCTCAAGAGACTCAGAGCAAAGGAATAAACTTTTCTCAGTTAAATTTTATCAGAGGCCAGAAAGGCTGAAATGAGACATTTAATGGAGAACGTGACCAGAACAGATGGACATCTGCAACAGACATGAGTGGCTGGGACCTGAGTGACCTTACCCTGAAGACTGCCCTACTGAAAGACTAATCGTCAATGACTGTTTTGGGCTGGAAAAATATTGGGGGTGGGGGGAGTTAATCCTTCAAGTATGAAAGGTCCAATGGCTAGAAGAGCCAGAGTGTGGCCTGCAGTGCAGTGAATTACTTAATATGGCCCTTCTAGCCGAAATCTTTGTAACTCCCACCAAATAACTGGGTGGGAGTATGCAAATGTGGTGCTTGTGGCCCAAATGCCTC